AAATTTAGTACCTCACTATGTTGGCAGCACAAGCCTTTTTCACATAAAAAATTTGAAAGCATTGACAATTTAACATTGTATTGCCAACATACTGTCATTTTGACTTTTATCTTTTAAAAAAAAAAACAGACTTTACAATAATTTTGCTCTAGCAATTGACCTTTTGTTTGGACGCCATATTGCGCGAACATAGTTGCCAAAAGAAGATAACAAAAATTACTAGCGGGCTGTCAACATTAAAAACAAAAGTAACTAAATATTTGATCCTTGCTATCCTTTTTGTTTGTTTACTTTCTCTCTCTGATTGATGAAAGTAAGTAAAGTCTGTTTTTTTTTAAAAGATAATTCCCCAAGTCAAAAATTTAGTAACTATGTTGGCAACACAAGCCTTTTCTACATAAAAAATTTGAAGCATTGACAATTTTACATTGTATTGCCAACATAATGTCAGTTTGACTTTTATCTTTAAAAAAAAAAAACAGATTTTAGGTAAAGTTTGTTTCGCCAGGGTTTGTACTTGCCACCAGCATTTGCCTTCCTTGTTTAACAAATAAAAATTGACTGAAACAAATCAATGACGTCAAAAACGTTTGTCGGTTTTTGAACCAAAAGTCATATTCATTTTAATTTGTTTCAAGGTCAAGTATGAACCCTGGTGAAACGAACCTTAGATATTTCATTATTTCTATTCTGGCCAATACGCTAAAATTGATGGCTTTTCTTTTCAAAAACATTCGTAATAGGCAGCAAATTTAAATTTTAAATGTAATTTATTCAGTAACTTTTGTTTTTAATGTTGACAGTACGCTAGTAATTTTTTTTTCCTTCTACTTTTGGCAACTATGTTCGCGCACCGCAAAATGGCGTCCAAACAAAAGGTCAATTAATACAAATCATCAAACAATGATATTAGTCATTGACTTGCATTTTATAGTAATTTTTAAGTTTTTTAGTATTCCCAACGGTATTCCTGCAGTTTGCGTAGTGCAGCTGGTGTAGTTTTCAGCCGTGATGTTAGATACCGCCACAGGTACTCATTCCATAACAAGTGATGGAATAATTATTCTTTCACTAGTGATGGAATGAAGCTATTCCGTAATCAAAAACTAAGTCGGAATGGACGAATTCTCTAATAGTCGTAGAAAATTAGTATATTTCCTAACTAGTGCGGAAAGTACCACTTTTCCGCACTCGATTGCAGTTTGCCGATCGACGCGCAGCGGAGTCCGGCAAGTAATTAAGTGCGGAAAAGAGACTTTCCGCACGAGTTAGGAACACTATTTTTTCTACGAGATGAAAAGTTAATATTTTTACCTACATATTTATTTATCAATTTAAGATATTTTTTTCACTTTTTCGTACCTATACCTGTAGTATAGGTACCTGTATACCGGTAAGTACCTGTATACCTAAAAAAAAATTCAGGTATTCTACTTTTTCGCCTTGAGTGCGGAAAAGTAATGCGGAAATAGTTATTTTGTCACAAGTACCTAAAATGAAGTTTTTCAGGACGAATCATTGCTGTTTCCGGACGAGGCGTTAGCCCAGTCCGGAATAGCAGATGAGTCTTGAAAAACTTCGTTAGCAGGTACCATCGTCACCAAAAGTAACTGGGACAAAAATAATTCATATTAATCTCCTGGACTATTGCAAGTTAACTAGATAAACCTAAAATTATTCATAGTTTGACAAATACCTGACACCTAAAATCATATAATAGTGTAAGTGTAGGTCCATTCGGGTTTGGAAAAAGGACGGTTCTAGAACGGTTTAAAACAATCGTACAGTTTATTGATCAACAAAATAACAACGACTCGGCTATCACAAATTTCAATAATAACCTGTGCGATTCTTTTGGACCGTTCTAGAACCGTACTTTTTCCAAACCCGAATAGGCCCAGTATAGGAGCTAATATGATGCTGTCCCATAGTTACTTTTGGTGACGATGGTACGTGTAACAAACACTATTTTTTGTCATACGCTTTTTAGAATTCTTCAGAACGCTAAAATTTGCAAAATTTCCTTAATTTTTGAAATTATAAAGGTGCATTCAGAAAGAGAAAAAAAAAATCCTAAAAAGAAGCATATTTTACGGACTTGAATGAGTCTGTAAAATAGCTGTTTTTGGGAGCGTATGACAAAAAGTAGTTACTTATTTTACAAGAATAGTAAACTTCTCAATCTATGATTAAAATCTAGACGTCATTTGAGCATAAATTCCGCACCCGATTTATCAATTTTTTGTTGTTTCTTGTGGTAAATACAAATAGAAACGAAACAAATCCAAAATTCCAAAGCAAGTCTGTTATTTTTATATAAAAGGTGGGTTTATACAGCACATAACATAACATAAGAAATAAGATAAAATAAGACATCATAATATAAGAAATAAGAATTTTGTGGCGTTTATACAGAAAATAACATAACATAAGAAATAATTTCTGACCAATCAGCTGGTACGTGTACTTATGTAAACTCTACCGAAAACACTATATTGGATCAAAAAAATGATTAATTAATAATTTAGCAGTAACAGAAAATCAATCTCGAATTCCAAAAAATTATCATTAGCTGAAAACAAAATCAAAATATATTTTTTTTTTGGTTGGAATGTTTTGTTTACTACTCCGCCATTGCCGACATCAAGGGAGGAGCATGCGCAGATCCGTTTTCACATAAAATAAGACATAAAAGTTAAAAGTTAACCAACTTTCTTATTTCTTATGTTATGTTATGTTATGTTATGTTATTTTCTGTATAAACGCCATAAGGGGTTTCCATAAGGTCAACTTTTTATCTTATGTTATGTTATTTCTTATGTTATGTTATGTGGCTGTATAAACCCACCTAAACATTGTTCATGTTCAAAATACTCGATTCCAGTGGCTGAAAAATTTGTATCATAATGAAAATCTGTATCACAATGAAGTTCATTATGAAACAGATTTTAGGCGTATTATGAAACGTCAACGTCAGTAGAAAAAGTTTATTTTGTTGTTTTTTTCACGTAATGAAATTAAAGCATAATACAAAAACATGTTTTTTCTACTGACATTTCATAATACGCTATTAAACGATTAAAATCTGTATTATAATGAACTTCATTACGATACAGATTTTCATTATAATACTCATTTTTAATATTATACAATGTTGATAGATGGCAGCACTAAATAAGATATTAAACATTTTTAACGGTAATTTTGCGTAAAACAATTATTTTGATAACTATAAAAAATACTTCGAATTGTATAAAAGTTACCTAAAGTTTGGGACAAAGAATAATTATTATGGAAATAATGAGTGATAAGGAAGAATTTTTACTTTTGTCATTATTATACATTGTCAATAGATGGCGCCACCAGTTAAGAAATGTTGATTTTTTTTTTTTTTGAATGATGACAGCACTCTGTTTATGGCTTTTCCATGGTAATTTAGCGAAAAACAATAATTTCATGAAAAAAATACTTCTAATTGTTATTAAAAGTTACCTAATGTTTGGGATAAGGCATTATTATGGAAATATTGAGTGATAACGAAGAATTTTCACTAACACCTCCAGAAATTACAGAAAGGGCGACAAATGCAGGTAATAATATACTACCGGACAAGTCCAAGAAAATTTGCGAAAAATTATATGGACAATTTATGGATTGGAAACACCAAAAACACATCGTCCTTCTCAGACAATGTTTTGATAGTATATTTTGAAGAATTACAACAAAAAATGAAACCTTCAACTGTATGGATTACTCAATTATAACATCACTATTCAAAGTTAAGCGTAATGTTGACATATCTAAATATCATCATATCAAGTTTTATCAATGGCAGTAGAAAAAATAGTGTATGCAACTCTCATGTAATGGCCATTAATACACTCGCATGTTATATACGAAACTCGCCTGCGGCTCGTTTCGTATCCTACAACATGCTCGTGTATTAATGGCTATCATTACATGATCATTGCATAATATACTATTATTATCCTTGCGTTCGGTATTTTGCTCAAAGTGTAGAGCGAGCTGAGCGGAGCCGTAATCACGTGACCAGCGAGCGAACGGAGCAGTTGAAAGCTGTATAAAAGTACCGGAAATTTTAATAAACGAACGCGAATGAGGCTGCACCGAGTACACTTTTTAAATAAACGAACGGTAAAGTCAAGCTCGGAGAACTCAGACCAAAATAACGAACGCACGGTATGATTCCCCGAATTCGTTCAGTTAATGTGGACGTCACGACAAACATGACCGAACGCGTTTGTTCGGGCGACCAGTGGTCCTGAAGAAGTGGAACTCAACGGATTTTTTAGAAAGATGCTTGAGAAAATCGCAAATACTCTCTGGAAATTTGAACAAAATCGCTCATTGCATTTTGAATCGAAAGGCAAAAAGTCAAAATTTTCCGAAAATTTCAACACTCTGTATTTTCTTAACGAGACGTTTGAGGACACACGTACCTACATATGCAAAAAGTGATTGTCCTACTGTACAGGGTGTCCGAATTTGGATGGTTTTAATAGGAAACGTGAATTTTTGAGCGAGATACAAAAAAATGAACCCCCCACTCTGAGGCTGATGTTTCTTGAAATTTTGATTGGTGCAAACTGCAAACCGCATTTTGATATCTTCAACCGTTTAGCCGCTAGAGGGCGATTCTCGATTTTGAGCAATACTGTGAAATCTTCATAACTTTTTTGTTTATGAAAATAATTGATTTCGTATGCGAGAATTCGAAAATACGACCGCAGAATAAACGCGATAATCGTATTGTCCGAAAAAGGCAGCCTTTTCTAGAATTGTGGCATGTATTCTGGATACCGTGGCGGAGGCACACGTAAATTCTGTTACAGTATTTTTCATTTACCTGCTCTAAGCTTTTAGCATACTTGTGACGTCATCAAAAGTTCATTTAACCTTTGCTGGGGCAATCTTGCCTTGCTACTCGTAATTGACATTAATGACAAATGTCAGTACTTGTCACTGTCAGCTTTTATTTATTTTTTCTCAACCACTTCCATTTCCCAATTCAGTTGAAATTTTATTGTCGCAAGAGGAACTTGTGTTGTGTGTTCCTGTTATTCAATTTTATTTATAATTTATTTAGTTCGTGTGTGTGTTGTCATCGACAAGACAAGGTCCTGTATATTTTCCTAAAATTTTCGCCTTTTTATCTGGAACAATCTCAACATGATGATAACGCAAAATGTGCAAATAAATTACGTAAATAGAACATTGTGGTGCGAATAAAATAGAAAAATAGTTATGACCGAACTAATCGTTTCTCGAGGAGACACGTTCCCTAGGGCATTCCTGGACACGTACAGGGCGAGCAAAAACACCGATTTTTACGGTGATTTGACCGCGAGCAAAAGCGATGAGTTGGTGTTGCAAAATTCCGCGGACATTCCCGTCGCCGAAGATTTGCACCACGGACATTCAGAGAATTTGTTAGATTCTGGATGCATGTCGCCGACCAAAGAAGATTTTCTGGATCAGCCCGAAGTGGTGCTGCCCAAGTACAGGAACAAACGGGTGCCTGTATACGATCGGGTTGATCCTGAGGACAGTATTAGGGATATTGTTAGTGAAAATGATTTTTATAGGTAAGAATGTTTGACTTTGTTTACGTCCATAGCAATTGAAAACCTCCAAATCTACCTTGTGTTGCCCTTAAATACAAATAGATCTGCAACAACTTATTCTAATTCTTGGAAATTTTTGGGAGGCTAGATAAACATCTAGGGAGTTGATGGCAGAAGATCAAGTAGGCCAATTTAGGTACTGCTTCCCCTATTGATTGGAAATAATTGTTATTACAAAGGGCATTGGCTCATTTTTAGCTGAAAAATATTTAGGAGGCAAGGACAATTTTATTACCTCAGGCCTCACAAAATTTTTAGGATTTGTACTGAGTAGATATATTTTCATATAAAAGAAACCATGTCTTGATCAAGGTTTTTTTAAATGAATGTATATTTCTTTTTTTGGTGCATATTTGTGTCTTTGATATACTTAATATACCTACCTATTTTTATGTATTAAAACCTATCGTTTTCAAACAAATTAGACAACTACAGAGGTATTAAAAAGCGCTTAAGGGTATTGAATGGGCCGTTTAAAATATATTGTAACGCACGTCGAACTATACGACTACCCAACAAGTTAATACTAATAAAGATGCAAGGTTCATCGCGATTATTGCATTGGGCTACTGTTGGGCCGGTTGGCGCTGGATCTTTCATGATAGCGATTTAAAATTTATCACAAAACAGGCGGAGTAAAGAGCCATAGGGTTTGCTGCCGGTATTCCTAACACACATAAGATTGGCGCTAAATAAAAAAGACACCATAAATTGATTAATTTTCTCGTTTTTTTCCAGTTTGAATTACATTTTTGTAATTTTTCGAGAACTCGTTTCTATTACTGGAAAAGATAGCGCCATTCTTCCCAATATTATAAATCGAATGCAAAAAATAAATTTGATATAACTTCAACTGCTAAAAAGTTCCGTTGCAACTAAGAACGCAATGCATTCCTTGTTTCATTTATCTCATTCCCACTAAGGAGTATTAATAGGGGAGGAAGAATACAATGATAGATAGGTGCTTCGCGCAGGAAAAAATATTTTGGCATCGAGGCGCATTCAATCATTTCAATCCCCTTAAGAGTATTTGGAAGATTTCTGTTGACCCTCGTGTTGACCTATAGAACATCCCAGCAATTCAAAATCATTAAGGAACCAATTAAAAACATGGGAAAGCATTTTGAAAGGTTTAGAATGTGCTAGCGCTAAGTTAGAACATTTTTAGACGCCCTGGAGCAATTTAGAGCTCCAATAAGCTTCAGAAGATTTTCTATTCAATTTCCAATCCTGCTGCTTTTGTTTGAGACAAATTGGAATCTTTAAGAACATTGTAAAACGTTTCAGAACACTTTCGTACCAATTTAGATTTTGATAGGCATTCTAGAACAAACCAGAACACTTCTAAGCTTTCAGAAACATTTTAGAAAGCTTACAAATCATAATGGAAACCATAGAACTGGAAACTTTTAGAATAGCTTAGAAATTGTCACATGACACTTTAGAACTAACCTCGGAACTAACTTAAATCTCCCATGAATATATTAGAACACTCTAAAAGGATTCTGAACTTATTTAGCATTTCACTTAGAACTTAGAATTACCCGAGGAATTACCAAAAAGCGCTTAAGAATATGTGGGAAATGATAGCTTCTAGAACATTCCGACGCTTCAAGAGCATTAAGCAACCAATTAAAAACTTTAGAAAGCATTTTGAAAAGCTTCAAAATGTGCTTGTGCCAATTTGGAACATTTTTAAGCATTTAAGGACTGGTTCGGCTGGAGGCTTACATGTTCTGAAACCACAACATTTGAAGGACACGTCGAAAGAATATTTATGAACAACTTCAGCAACACTTTTATTTACATTATCAAAATTCGTTAGGATGATCATTGAAGAAGACCTATCTGTGGAAATTCGCCCAATTTTTTTTGGGGCAACTCTGTGTGCTTTGAAAAAGAAGCATGGGTGACTTCGACCAATTGCTGTAGGCTGCACCCTCTGGAGGTTAGTGTCTAAGATAGTCTATTCAAGGATATGTGTTTTCCTGGGTAATTATCATCGCCCAATTCAGCTAGGTTTTGGCACAAAATGTGGTATGGGAGCTGCTGTCCATGCTACTCGTCGTTTTATTTATTTCCATCAAATAAATCCTAAATTTTTATTGAAAATTGACTTTTTAAACACTTTCATTATAATTTCTAGATCATCATTATCATCAGAAGTTTCCTCGGAAGTTTCTAACAGAATTCCAGAATATTTTCATTTCATGAAAGAATCATATTTTGAACCATCTCTACTTTCTTTTAATGACCGGACTATTCTTTCACAACGTGGCGTTCAGCAGGAGGATCCTCTTGTTCCAACATGGTTTTCCCTGACTTTACAACAATTATAAAATCCTTAAAAAGTGGTCTTAACTTGTGGTATCATGATGATGGCACCTTATGCGATGATAAAGACACAATTCCAAAGGACTTCAGTAATATCATAAGAAATTGTGCAAAAATTGGCTTGGAAATTAATTTTAAAAAATGTGAGGTTTCTTTGATTTCATCTATCAATATCAGTCAGGATGTCTCAATTTTTGATGAATTTATCTCTATTGCCCCAAATATTAAGGTGGTCAATTTTAATGAGCTTTTTCTCTTAGGTTGTCCTCTTGCTGATACAAGTTTGAATATTGAACTCAATAACAAAATTCTAACACTAAAACGTTTTTGCTCAAGATTTGGAATCTTATCGAGATTCTGCATTCTTTTTGCTTAAAAATTCACTTTCAATACCAAAAATGATATCTTTCAAGATGCTCTCCATGTTGGAAAGAGCCTAACCTTCTCATCCTTTATGATTCTTTGCTTAAAAATATTTCGGAAAGCATAACAAATTGTAGCTTTGATGAGAAAAATTGATCAATTTGTAAATTACCTGTAAGATTTGGCAGTTTAGGTATACAAGATGTTTCTTCATTATACTTTTCCGCTTTTATCGTGTCCAACAAAAATGTTAGTTATCTTTTAGATTCGATTCTTCCAAATTTTATAAACATGTCCGATGATGTCTCTCTTATTGAAGCTAAAAACTTATGGTCTAACCTATGCGATAACAAATTTTCATCTGAGGATTTCTCAAGACAGAAGCTTCTCGATGAAAAGTTATGCTGTTGTTGGGCACTTTACTAAATATGCAGGAGCTGGATGAAGTTTTTTATCTTTAATTTTAATTATTTTTGTTTGGTTTATATTTATATTTTTAATATTTATATTTATTTATATATTGAACAATATATTCAAACAAGGGGGTAACCACTCCTTTAAAAAATGAACACGTATTGCGGTAATCCTATGATTTCCTCGCAGTCGCTGCGATTTTTGCAACTGTTGAGGATTGCCATGAAAATCGCAGTGATTACCAAGGATTGTCATATATTTCCTGCTGATTGTGGGTCTACCAAAATGATTGTGAGACTGCAAAATGATTGTGAGACTGTCAAAATGATTTCTTTAGGGATTTCCAGAAAATGTGATGATGATAACAATGTAGTAGAATTTTCAAATAATTAAAACAAGGTATCGTTTATAAGTCAGGTTTCTGAAATATTACTTCCCATATTTTTGTGGAGATTGTGAAACTTTTGTCAACCTATTTAAACACACAAAATCTTCAAAAAAATACTTTTCTGCAATTAACAAGAAATCTCAACATTTTTGACCTGTTGACAGGCCACAAAACACAATTTTTTGGTATTTTAAATTATCTTTCGATAGTTGTTAAGGAATCGATGAAAACAGTACGGGAATTACTTTCCCGGCTTAGGCCAAGAAAGTGCTTTCCATACTGCTGAATAATTGGAATAAGAAGACAAACATTTGAGAAATATTTAAGCGATCGCAAAAAAATAGTATATGTATTTCGGAGAAAAGGAATTTCTCGGGCTTCGGTGTTTGCTGGCCTTGGCTGTGCCTCGCTTGGCATATGACACCGTCAACCGAGAATGTGTCACCATTCCACCTAAATACACAATATACTATCATTTTTTATTTGTTGCCAGAGTGGTTACCCCCTTGTATTCAAAGTAACTAAATTTTCAATCCTCCTGCATTTGTTTGAGACAAATCGGAACTCTCAAGCATATTCTAAAACGCTACAGAACATTTCAGAATCAAATTAAAATTTCGGAAAAATTCAAGAACAAACCAGAAACATTCAAAGAAGCTTTAGATACTTTAAAAGTTTAGGTTTACATACAAGTTCAAATTTCCAGGAGTAATCTAAAACTGTAAACCTTGAGAATATCTTGAAAATTGTTACATTACATTTCAAAGCATATTAAAATACTCTAAGGTCCAGTTGTACAGTCCAGGTTCAAACAGAGGTTTAGTTGAACTCTACTGGTATTTGAACTTTACCATTTGAATTGCATTGCTGTCAAGAAATATATATTTTGGCATATTTCTGACAGCAATGCATTTCAAATGGGAAGGTTCAAGTACCAGTAGAATTCAACTGAGTCTCTGTTTGAACCTGGTTTGTACAACTGGGCCTTAAACACGTTCAGACATAAAAGAGCCTTTGAGAATATATAGGAAATTTCTCAAATTCTAGATATTTCGGTGCTTCGAGAGCATTAGTTATGAGTTTCGGATGAGGCTTTTCCTGCCTGACATGGTCTTAATAAATAGGCCATAACTCTGGAACACCTCGATGGATTTTAATGAATCATGTTTCATTCGATAAAGGATTAAATTGAGGCAGTGACATGTTTATAAAAACAGATTTCCTAAAAAGTTTCAACTTTGATAAAGCAAAAACTGGACAACTATTTTGTGTCTTAATGATCCTTTGGGATCCCCCAAACTATTCTGAGAATTGGAGCCAGAATCTATGAAAAAAGGCACTCTGAAAAATTGATAAATCACCCCAAATTACTTAACACGATTTATTTCTGGAACTATAAGTACATCCAAATGAGCTGAAGGGGTTCTAGTCCTCTACTGAAATAAGAATTGATGAAAATTTCAGCTTTCTATCCATAAAAGTTATGACCTTTCAAAGTTTTCCAAAATCGAAATCATAAGGTAGCTACCTCAGTACTAAAAGGATGAAATTTCAAAAAAAAAAAAATTGTTGAGATTTTGTGTCTTAATCGTTGTTTGGGACCCCCCAGACTAAACTGTGTTAGGGGAGTTTTGGTGATGGACCTCTCTACACTGCAACCTGAATAGATCTATTGTGCTTCCCCTTTTTCTGGTAGGTTCCCAGGTTGAGACTTTTCGCGAATCTCATGATTTTTCCTGGGACCCCCCAAACTCCATACACTATTATTCTGAGATTTGGAGCCGGATTCTATGAAAGAAGGCACTCAAAAAAATTGATAAATCACCCCAAATTGCTTAACATGATTTTATTTCTGTAAATATAAGTCCAAATGAGCTCAATTTTCTGAGATTGTAGTCCTCTACTGGGATAAAAATCGCTGAGAATTTCAGCTTTCTATCTATAATGGAAAAAAAGTATAACCTTTCAAAGTTTTCCAAAATTTAAATCATAAGGCAGCTAATTGTTCGTCGCTTTTTATCTGACACTTCCCGTATGAGTAGCGAGGGGGTGAAGTATGGCAAAAACAGGTGTAGCGTCAGGTGACCGTTGGTGTTCTAATGTAGGGTGCCACAAGCTCATTTCATTCCTTTCGAGTATCAGATTAAAATTGACAGACTTTACCTCAGTACTAAAACGATAAAATTTCAAAAACTTTTTCATTGAGATTTTGTGACTTAAAGGTTGTTTGGGACCCCCCAAACTCTATAGGTACACTAATGACTAAAAAAATTGTTGAGATTTTGTGTCTTAAAGTCTTAATCGTTGTTTGGGACCCCCCAAGATTAGATTAGATGAAACTGTGTTAGGGGAGTTTTGGTGATGGACCTCTCTACACTGCGACCTGGATAGATCTATTGTGCTTCCCCTTTTTCTAGTAGGTTCCCAGGTTGAGACTTTTCGCAAATCTCATAATTTTTCCTGGGACCCCCCAAACTCCATACACTAAATTATTCTGGGATTTGGAGCCGAATTCTATGAAAAAAGGCACTCAGAATACTTGATTAATCACCCCAATTTGCTTAACACAATTTTATTTCTGGAAATATAAGTCCAAATGAGCTGAAGTTTTCAGGGATTGTAGTCCTATACTGGAATAAGAATCGCTGAAAATTTCAGCTTTCTATCTATAATAGAAAAAAAATGTATGGCCTTTCAAAGTTTTCCAAAATCCAAATCATAAGGGAGCTAGCTACCCTAGTACTAAAATGATGATATGTATTTCAATTTTTTTTATGTTGAGATATCGGTTGAGATTTTGTGTCTAAATGATCATTCGGACCCACCAAACTCCATACACAAAATTATTCTGAGATTTGAAGCCGAAATCTATGAAAAAAGGAACTTAGAAAAATTTGAAAAATGATAAATTCACCCCAAATTGCTTAACGCGATTTTATTTCTGAAACTATAAGTCCAAATGAGCAGAAATTTTCAGGGATCGTAGTCCTCTACTAGGATAAGAATCGAAAATTTCTTGTTTTATGGCCCAGCAGATCTTCTATTCTGCAAGCCAATGTTCATTATTAAACCCTCGAAAATTTTCATTTCAGATTTGTACTATTCAAAAAACACTACGACAAATATCTGCACCTGTCGCAAAAGTACGAGGAGGCCAGGAACATTGCTTATTATTTAGAGGAGAAATATCACGAGGTTAAGGTGAGTACCTAGTTATTAGATTTAATTTTAATAAAAGTTCAAATGCAATTCGTGTAGGCAAAGCATAGTGTGGGCAGTTAAACAAGAAAAAAAAAAATGATACCATCTAGAAAAGCTTTCATAAACTTTCCAAAATGATTACTACTAAGTATTTTGTGTTATAATTTATTTTTTCTATTTTGGTTTCATATCGAAGTCTTTTCGACACTGAAAGTAGTTTCGAAAAGAAGCTCTTTGTGACACTCCTTTTTTACTTATCGGAAGTTGGTAACACTGGCTGACTGATGGCCATCGAACTGTCATTTGCGATTTTATTATTGGTAAAAATAAAAATAAAAAAGAAGATTTCTATATTTGGCGTGTAGTGTTACCAACCTAAACATGAAATCAGGAAATATGAGAATAAAATTTCCAAGGAAAATTTGTTTTTTTTTTAATTAAACAAGACCAAAATAGAAAAAATAGTATAAAATATTCGTTTCATAAGACATTTTATCGCACTCGCCCTTTAGAAAACTCGCCTCCGGCTCGTTTTCTAATATAGGGCTCGTGCGATAAAATCACGTCTTATGAAACTTGTATTTTAATGTACTATTTTCTATTTTGGTGTCATATCGAAGTCTTTTCGACACTGAAAGTAGTTTCGAAAAGAAGCTCTTTGTGACACTCCTTTTTTACTTATCGGAGGTTGGTGACACTGGCTAACTGATGGCCATGTAACTGTCATTCGCAATAAAAAATAATAGAAGATTTCTATATTTGGCATGTAGTGTTGCCAACCTAAACATATGAAGTCAGGAAATATGAGAATAAAATTTCCAAGAAAAGTTTTTTTTTTTTATTAAACAATACCAAAATAGAAAAAATAGTATAAAATATTCGTTTCATAAGACATTTTATCGCACTCGCCCTTTAGAAAACTCGCCTCCGGCTCGTTTTCTAATATAGGGCTCGTGCGATAAAATGACGTCTTATGAAACTTGTATTTTAATGTACTATTGTTTTTGTGTGTAGGAGTATTTTTAATCCAATTACAATACAAGTCAAAGGTTGAAAATATCCACTAACTGGTAGAAGTTGAGACTAACTTTTAAATGAAAGCTTGTTAAATGAAATTTTATAAACTTAATAATGAGGCATTGTTTTAATGACTATGATACATCCTTCCTAAGTTGAGAAACTACAATTTGCACACAATACTCATTTTTGTGTTAATTACATTTTGACAAATTCATTGCCAATGCCATCTGAAGCTGTATTGTTGTAAGTATTAAGAAGATACAAAAAGGTCAGGGAATTGTATGTTGCGCTCTAGTAAATTTCTTTATAGGATTAAAACGACCATTAAATTGTGAAATTAAACCAGAGAAGTTGTCATTTTTTAATGTCCTTGATAGTAATTATATGCATAAATTAACATAAGTGGGCACATTAAACTTGATTGCTGATTTTGAAAAAAAAAAACCTTATATGTATATTCTTACGGAAGACTTACAATTCAGGTTAATGCTTTTTATAGCAATATAGGTTGTTGACCTGCAAATTTCTTATTTTTTTCTAGACTGAAAGGGACGATCTTATTCAGCAAAGGGAAGAAATTGCCAGACGGCTTGAATCCAGCGAGTGTTTGGTCAGAGAAAAAGAAGATGACGTTTTTTTGAATCTGGAAAGAGTAGTCTATTTAGAAGAACAATGTGATAAGGTAATAAGAATCTAAATTGATTTGTAAAAAAAATCATGACATCACAGGTAATTTTGTTGCAACTTCAAGGAATTACGAATAATTATAATATTTTTTTCTTTGTATTTTCCATCATCATTACTATGCATACTGCATACATGCAAATTCAAAAACTGTAATACCATAAACGTAGGTACAGAATTGTTGCCTTAATTTGGACTACATATTGGTTTTCGGAAAAGTTATTGATTGCATGGTTTTCTATGAATAATAAATTTTGTTGTAACTTTTTGCTGATCAATTAAAAAAAAATATCTATTTAATTCCTAGTCCCGTTAAAATGTTGTCTCAGGTAATGACTCAATAATTAAATAATTATTTCGAAAACAACCTTGAATAATTGATCAATTTTCTATTTCTAGTTGCGTGCTGAAAAAGAAAAACTTCTCGAACAAAAAACACTGATAGAGAAGGAGCGCGACAAAACTTTGAGACTGGTAAGTTGGCACAAGAAGCCTTGAACATTTTCGAAAATATTTTCTTGTCGACAGCTACAAGAACAGGCAAAAGAGTCCGAATATAATCGTAGAAGACTGGAGCGAGCGAGACAGGAAGTTGTACATCATTTGACGAAAATCAAGAACGAAAAAGAGAATCTGGAAAGAGAGGTACGATTTGATTTTGTAATGCTTAAAATTATTTTCCCATCATATCGTGACTGTCTCTGACCACAGTTAATTTTCAACAAATAAAAAATTCTACAGAAATCAATAAAAAATTTCCTTTGTAATCAAATCGTTTGTATCGTGACATTCAGGCAAAGTAAATTGGATTCCACATTATTTATCTATTATAATCCCACCTTTTGTTGTTATTAATTAAAACGATCTGTAGGTAGTTATAACTGTTGTAATATTTTTGTTTGTTTGAAGATGATTCAACCGACAAGCTTCCTTATACGATTTTATAACATATAAAGTTTCTAATGATGGTGTGATTATCATAAAATCGAGGAAATAATTATAACTCCCAAAGAATAAAATTCTGCACGACAAGAAGTAATTTTGTTATTTTTCAATTCTAGAATGATAAACTTAAAGAAGAACTAGAAGCGGAACGTAAAGGTATGGGCCGGTACGTCTCGCAACTTCAAAGACGTAGAACCACCGCATCAGAATTTGCAGATAGAAAGGTAAGAATTTAATTACTAGGTAATTAACGAACAAATTCCAAGCAAGCGAGACACAATAACTAATCTTCACTCATGAAAAATTTTAATTATTTCATTATTAATTATTGATAATAACCTTGTCTTATGCAACTTAATTTAAAATTCTCGTGTTACCTAAGGTATCAAGGGCGAATAAACCGGAGTGTGAAAAAAAAAAGTTTCACTTTCACTACTCGTATTTGGAAACCAGGAAAATGGAAGACAATTTCTATTCATATTGATTTAAGTAAATCCAAGTTTGTCGCGTTCTCACTATCATCATGTACTTCGACCATCTTTCAGGCCCAGTTGTACAATCTTGGTTCAAAACAGAGTTCAGTTGAACTCGCTGAACTTGACTGGTACTTGAACTTCCCCGTTTGAAATGCATTATGGAGAAGAAAAAAATATAAAATGAAACCAATTGTGCCTGTCGCCAGCAACACAATGTATTTTAAACAGCTTCGAATAAACTGGCATAAGAAAGTGAAGAAAATTGAGATCGTTTCGGTATAAATTTGATTTATACACGGGATCGTTTTGCTGATATTGATCTTATTGATTTATTAGTGCACATGTATTGTATGTCAATATTGATATATCTGTATAATGAATTATGCAAAAGGGAAAAGTTGCCTTTTATATTGATTTCTAGTAGACAGTATTGTCTAGAGGTGACTAATTTCCTGAGATTTGTCATTATCATCATAATTAAAATGCCTGCATGTAAAAATGTCAATGTTTAACGAGCCGTGTATTTTCTCTTCCGATCATTTTGCTCTATAAAGGCATCATCGGTTTAATTTTATAGCTTCCCCTTTCCAATTTTCTATTGCCTTTATATACGACCTGATTTATTGGCTTGTATTTGAAATAACATTCATTAATTTCGTCCCACATTTTACTTAAGATGTAGGCGATTCTTTTTTACACCCCTGAGGAATAAAATAATGAGCATTGTTAATACTTGAACCGTGAAAACAATGCGTCTGTTCGCTTAACAACTTAAGTGCCATAATTAGAAGAAAAAAAAAAGGAATACCCAAAGTTATTCTAGGATGTAAACACACTTCTTTTTTCCTAGAGGCCAATTATACCTTTAAAAGACATATTGTCGATTCTCTGAAGCAATTTCTCCGACGTTTTTGGTATAATACTTCCGCATATTACGAATAAATTGTTTTAGGACCTCGGTACTTTACTTTCACCCATCTAGGTACAATTTATATCAAAAATGTTTGAATTAATTCAAAGCACTTTATGAGTACCGCTTTTAAATAACACTAATTAACAACATGCAGGAAAATACAATGAACAATGGGTGCCTTAATGGCAGACTGCATTACAGCATTACAATACACTCTCTATGTATGTGTATTAATGTCTGTTGGAGTGTATCTCCTGTATATGTATATAGCAGCAAAACTTGTTGCAGTAATTTTCGGTGTCCAAGTCATAAAACGTAGCGGATTTAAGTTGCTAAATTACCGTTTTCCATTGGGCCGAAGGAATTTTAACGATGTTTATAAGCATTATAATGCAATTTAGAGTTGAAATTTCTATTATTGAAGCCAACGTGTACTTGTGGAATCTCGTTGACACTGTTTCGGAATGATCATTGGCAATCCAACGATCTTTGTGAGGAGGATAGAAGGGAACTTAAGGTATTAAGAGAGCACCTAAAAAAAGCGTTGAACGAAAACAAACAAGCAAAAATAAAAGGACTCAAATTGGAAATTGATAGTAAACTTTATACGGCTAAAGAATTAGAAGACCTTTCAGATCCGGATGTGTCCTTAAACAGTAGCTCAGATCTTGAGGAATCGAGCGAAGAAGAAAGTGAAGAAGAAGAGAAGGAAAAAGTGAAATCAAAGTCAGAACCCAGTATCGCGCAAACCAAGAAAAGCAAAAAGAGAAAACAACAGAAAACCCCTAGCCCAGAAGGAATTAAAACAAGATCTAACAAAAAGAAGAAAACTGCAAGAAGATTCTGAAGGCTGTATTACTTTTAGGCGAATACACTCATTTATACAGACTGACATTCTTCACTCATATCTCGTAAATTTTCAATATTTTTATTTATTTATTGAAAAAAAAAAAAAAAAAAAAAAAAAAAAAAAAAAAACATATATACCTACCCAATATAATTAAAAATTTATAAAAAGAGTTGCAATAAATCTTACAAATGGACTCATTCATAAGAGATTTTTCTGTTCAAAACATAAGGGCTGTAGATATCGAAAAGCCAAATAGTTTAAAGAACTACATTGACATCAAAAACAATCTAAAACTACTCCATCTAAATATCAGAAGTGTACACCAGAACTACGACAAACTTCTATGTCTGTTGAATCAAATAGGCTTCAATTTTGATTTAATTATATTAACAGAAACATACCACATCTTTGACGAACAGGTCTTCAATTTGGACGGATACAAAACTATATACAATAGGGGACAGTATAACAAGTGCGATGGGACAATTGTATTTTTGAAAAATACAATACCCCACACCTATAAATTCGATTACATCGGTCAAGTAAAAGCCATAGAACTAGAACTCGATACGAATCTAAATCATAAAATTTTAATAAGTTGTATATACAAATCCCCTAATATCACCAAAGCAGAATTTATTAACGATTTTGCACAGTATCTTGAAATGAAAAAACATGCAAAAAACCATATAATTACTGGAGACCTCAATATGAATTTACTATCATTATCACCTGAAGACGAAGAATACAAAAATATTCTAAATTTCTATTTCTTTACGTCTTATATTAACACAGTAACTAGGCCTCAAACAAAATCATGTCTTGATCATTATTTCGTAAAGGTCTGTAATAAGGATGTTTTGGAAACGCCAAAATCTTTTGTATTGAAAATCGATTTAACAGATCATTATCCAATTGTTTTAAGCTTACCAACTAAAGAACTTAAAATAAATGAAAATATTCGACACACAAAAAAATATATTAATTATAATGCTCTAAAAACTGATTTAAACAAAGAAAACTGGAACATGGTATATACAGAAAAAGATCCTAGTAAAGCAATGGAAGCTTTTATTCATGTCCTAACGCAATTCATCAAAAAACACACCCAAGAAATCAAATTAAACAATAAGAATTTCGGAAGAAAAACTTGGATCACAAAAAGCCTACTTAAGAAAATACAATACAAAAATGATTTGTACATAAAATGTCAAAATGCGCCACACAATGAACAATTAAAAGAAACATACAAAAATCACAAAGCGGAATTGAATAAAATTATCAAAACAACAAAAAAAAGATATGTACAAACACAGATAAACCAAAATCAAAATAAAAATAAAACTCTCTGGAATTGTGTAAACAATATATGTACCAAAACGAAGATTGAAAAAAATAAAATAGAAAATATAAAAATAGAAAACGGAAAAACCTTAAATAACTCAAAAGACATAGCTAACCATTTTAACACATATTTTACAGAACTGGGGCAAAAACTAGCTAGTCAAATAAATCTGACAGGCGATGACGATATCATTGAAAACATCGAACACTCTATTTATTTGCACCCCACAACACAAAATGAAGTAAGGAATATCATTACAGACTTAAAAAAAGGAAAAGCTCCCGGCATTGACGGGATTAAATCAGAAACATTACAAGAATTGAAAAATGAAATATCTTTTACACTTGCATACATTATTAATCTCTGTTTTGATTCGGGAACTTTTCCAGATATTTTAAAAATAGGACAAATTACACCTATACATAAAAGTGGTTCATTAGTCGACACAAGCAATTATAGGCCCATATCATTAATTTCCAACATTGCCAAAGTTTTCGAAAAAATTCTGAAGACTCGCTTGACATCATTTTTAAATAGATTTTCTATTCTTTCTGACGAACAGTATGGCTTTAGAGAGAAAAAATCAACACAAGATGCTATTTTAAAATTAACATCCCATTTGTATGAGTCTATGGATAAATCGAAACCGTCATTGTGTATCTTTGTTGATCTCTCGAAAGCTTTCGATACCGTTGATCACACTATTTTACTCAGAAAGCTTAGTTACTACGGAATTAGAGGTACCGTATTAAGTCTACTCAGAAGCTACTTAACAAACAGAAAGCAATTAGTAACAGTAAATGGTGTCGAAAGTTCTTACCAAAATGTCACGTGCGGCGTACCACAAGGCACAGTACTTGGCCCTTTACTTTTCATTATATATGTGAACAGCCTTTTCAAAATGAACTTTTTAGGAAAAATTGTAAGTTACGCTGACGACACTGCCATATTCTACACTAGTGACTCTTGGCAAACCCTTAAACCGACTGTTGAAATGGATTTTTTAAGAATTGCTAAATGGCTTGCTGCAAACAAACTATCGCTAAACGTAGCAAAAACAAAATATTTGAGTTTTGCGTCCTATGTCAGTGGTCTGCCACACCTTGGTTCCCTTAACATAAACCAAAACATTTTGATACCAGAAGTAAATTCAATAAAATATCTAGGAATCACATTAGATCGGCATCTAAAATGGGACCTTCATACCAACGAGGTAACCAAAAAATTACGATTCTTCATCTCGAAATTCAGACGGTTGAAAGATTTTTTGGACATCCAAAACCTTCGGATGCTATATTTTTCATTTATACAATCGCAACTAACATACGGGCTCTGTGGATGGGGTGGTGTTAGGGACTATTATATTGGCTCTATGGAAATTGTTCAAAAGTGGATTTTGAAAATAATATACCAAAAAAAGCGTTTGTTTCCTTCAGATGAACTTTATCAAATATCGGGCATATTGGATATTAGACAATTGTACGTTCAAAATATATTAATGAACATTCATAAAGAAAACATTAAAATTGAATACCCTGCACATTCCTACACCACACGAGCTCGAAATAGAATGGCAGTTCCAACAAAAACACAAAAATCGGTTGGTCAAAGATGCTTTTCATATTATGCTCCAAAATTATATAATGCTTTACCTGAAAATCTTAAACAAAAATTCCAACAAAAAAATAAAATAAAAGTTCTTATAAAAAAATGGATTCAACAGACAGGACGACAAACATTTCACGAAATACTTAGATAACAAAATTAAATAATGTGTACCTACTTTTAATATGTAATTTATATATGAACTAAAATTTAAAAAAACCCCCGATTTTGACTGTTTTACATGATTTTGGCATATTTACCCAATGTTGACAATGTTAAACCAGGCTAAACAGATTTTTCCCGATTTGTGTTTTCATTCTTGAAAAAGAAATGATTTATGGCCATTTGCACCGACCATTTTGGGAGAGGTTTAACGATGATCAACGCTTAAAGTAACATTTTTACATGTACAAATGTCACTTTAAGCGTTGATTGTCGTTAAGCCACCTCTGGAATGGTCGGTGCAAACGGTCATAAGAATCTCAATCAATAAGATAGATATCTTAATTTAAGATAGGTATGTTTAATAATTTAGATGATAGCTGAGTATATTATATTTAAGTATAGTTTAAGTAAGTAATATAGATAATAGATAGCTACATCACGTACAAGCAGATTAATTTCTGCTTCTGTGATTATTGTTTATTTGCTAGATGTAAGTTTTTTCCACTGTAAACTTGCTATTGTAAACTTAGTAAATAAACTTTATTATTATTATTATTATTATTAATGATGAATCTATAATTTTACAATAAATAGCATTGTTTCTTTACATTTTTCCTATTAGCAACAGGGTTTTCCTGTCTAATTTAATTCAACAATATAACTCGTACTCATACCAATTATTTTGCAAATTGTTAAAAGTCTTATATCATAATTCTTTTTAAAATAAAACGTAATGCCCAGAAGGTTAAGTAAAGTTTATAAATAGACCTGAATTCATTGTTTACAGGTGTAAATTATTTATTTTCATATAAAACCCATTGAAAAAGAAGAACCTGTTATTGTTAGGTGGAACACTTTTCTTCCACCCAGAATAATTCCAATTTTTCGTAATAAAAATCCTATGCACGTTTAAATACTGTAACAAGAATTTTCTCTGGTAATAATTGATATGTATTACAGAGACCATGTTCCTAATGCATAAACACCTTTATTGTCTTGGTTTACTTGCTGAATTAGTAATTAAGGCGTTTTATTTTTTTCAAAAGGAAACGGAACTCGGGTATATTGTATTGTATTTTTTTTTTGTGAAAGTTTAAACAAGATTTACCAATCATCAATGTGGAAAATATTTGATTTTGATTCTTTTTTCAGGTAGTACAGCTAAAACCGTCAGAATATCAAAGTTCGACGCTGGCGTCACAGTTTCAAAAAGCTGTCGAGCACTTGGCCAATTGCAAACAGAAAAAGTGTTCGGTTTGTGCTTACGCTAAAGCTTCTTACAAGAGAATTTCGCCCCATCATCATAAATATAAGTAAGTAAAATGATTTAGGTAATTATCTATATAGCTATTTATACAATAAGTTACGAAATGAGCGTCTTTTAGGCACGCGACGTGAAAATTGTCCAACGAGGCAACGCCGAGTTGGACAACACGTCGAGTGACGAGTTGGACAACACGTCGAGTGACTAAAAGACATTATCGTTTCGTAACGTATTGTATACAAGATTTTTTCTACTGGCATTTTATAATAAAAAAACACAATTTTATTTCATGTGAATAAGTCGATTACACCCAAAATCTTTGTTACCTGCTTTTACTTGACACCTGACACTTTTCATGCGATTTTCTTTTCAAAATTCGACATCAATAATTAAAATCCTAGAAAGTAGGTAGGTAATAACACAAAGTTCTGTTTTGAGTAACCCAAACGTTCAATTCAGTAATTCCATTTTCAATATTCATAATAAATACAAAACAAAATTCAAATATGTGTTTAGTGTGTTTTTTATTTCTGAATAATGAATGACACTTTTAGGCACTAGTGCTTAAAAATTACTTTTACGCACTCATAAGTCACTTTTACGCATTCAAAAGTCACTTTTACGCACTGAGTGCCTAAAAGTAACTTTCACGCACTCAGTGCCTAAAAGAATGTCGTTTCAAAACTGAAATGACAATCGAAAAGTTGCTATTATGAAACGTCAGTAGAAAAATATATTTATCTATCACACGTTTTTGTTGAGAAAGATTACGAAAGATTATCTTCATTGATGTGCTACTTAAGTGTTTTATGATTTTTTTACTCATGAACTGTTTCAAGTATTTGTTTGCAATTTGGAGACAAGTAGAAGGAAGGTTTGAAGCATGTTTTAGTAAATTTTTCAAGTTGCTTAAGAGAAAACTTTAAAAAATACACCCTGAAATAGTTTAATGAAGAAGGGAATTTCTCAAAAATCTATACGCAAGGATGTAAATGATTTTACCTACGAGCGTGCGGTAAAGTGAACTTTACCGCACGTATTTGCAAATGGAAAGTATCACTTTACCGCACACTATGCGGTAAAGTGCACTTTACCGCATAGTGTGCGGTAAAGTTAACTTTACAGCATAGTATGCGGTAAAGTAGAATCATAGTGTGCGGTAAAGTGCACTTTACCGCATAGTGTGCGGTAAAGTAGAATTTGATATTTATAATCAAAAATCCTCTTTTTTTCAGAAAATGGATTTTTGATCATTTTTAAATCTTATCTAATTTCATTAATTAATCTGATTCATTAATTAATTTTATAAATGCCTTTTTTTAGAAATGTAGATGCTCATAGGTAAAATTTTGTACCTAACACATGCGGAAAGTGCCTTTACCGCCCTTAACGGCTTGACCGAACTCCGCTTCGCGTCGTTCGGTCAACTGCCATTGCGTGCGGAAAGTATCACTTTCCGAATTTGTTAGGTAAATAACTATTTTACTTATGAACTGTTTCAAGTATTAATTTGCAATTTCGAGAGGAGTGGAAGGAAGGTTTGAAGCATGTTTTAATACATTTTCAAGTTTCTTGCGTGAAAACTTCAAAAAATACACCCTGAAATAGTTTGATTATTAAGGAAATTCTTCGATTATACAACTCACTGTACCGTGCGTTCAATTTATCTTGATAACATTTTAATTCGCCGTAACTTTTTTGTTTTTAAAGATATCAAGGTAAACAAAAATACAAAATGTAGGGTAAGTAGCCAAGTTTTTTTTCAAGTCACATCTAAAACAAAACACTATTAATTTTCTGACATATCAGCCTACATTATATTTTGTTAAATGGAACACCCTGTATATTATGTATGTGTTTGATAGAATATCTCATTCCGATCACAATGATATAACACACTTCATATTTTGGTCCACTGGTTTTTGACAAATCGGCAAAAATATGAAATTTTTATATACAGTGAGCACGTAAAGGTTAGAATAAAATCCATAAAATATACAGGGTTGATATTTTTGAAAAAACCTCGGGCACGGCGATTTTAGATTTTAGTGGCCGTTTTTTTGATAATAATATCATGTATACAGGGTGACCCAAAAACAAGTTATGATACCTAGCATTATTTTTTTAAACGAAAACACCAATTTTTAATTTTATTTTCAGATTTTACATTAAATTCTGAACCTATTTTATGCATCATGTCCTATACCTATCTTCAACTGTTTCGGAAATATTGACAGTTGAAAATTGACTTTTTTGCAACTTTGACAGGCTGTGAAACCTAAACGGTTAATTTTAGAGAAAAACCGATCATAAGTTCTTTTCTTAGTTTTCCATAAACTATCGTTTGCTGCCACTAACTTCAAGTTTATTCCATGATTCAAAATTCCGGTTAAACTTAATCTCCGGCCGGTTAAATTCAAAGTTGTCGTCAAATGATAGCTCATGAAAAAGGAAAGATGAGAACGTAAAATCGGATCTGCTCTAAAATTAACCGTTTAGGTTATGCACATGCAGCCTGACAAAGTTGCAAAAAAGTTAATTTTCATCGAGGTAAATTGAACGCACAAAACACTATCAATTTTCTGACTTATAAGCCTACATTATATTTTTTTGAATGAAACACCCTGTATATTATATATGTATTTGATAAAATATCGTATTCCGATTACAATGATATCGGATCTTCAAAAAAAAAAACAATCAAAGATTGTTATGGGTTTTTAAACGTATGTCTTAGAAATATTTTTATTTAATTTTGTCATAGAACTTTAATGTCAAAATGTCATGTCAAAAATCCTTACCAATAATGCGACGTAGGTACGTTTTCGTAATAAACGCAATCTTTGGTTGTTTTTTTTTTTGTGAAGACCTGTTATGATACACTCGTTTTTGACAAATTGACAAAAGTATCAAATTATAACCTAATCTTGAAGAGTGCAGTGACAACTGCAAACAATAACTTACAAAATAATGACAAGAAATACTAAACTAAACTATTCTAAATACTGCTGTATGTGTCCACCATTTTGCTGAACACATTTCTCATACACTCTAATCGTATGATTTCTTGCATTTATCAACATTAACGGATTGTTTCTTAACTGATCGATTGCCTCTGAAATCCTTTGTCGGAGTTCCACGACGTTATTACTAGGAGTTCTGGGGACGTAATTTTTTATGTATCCCCAAAAGAAAAAATCCATTAAAGTTAAGTCCGGGCTGTTGGCTGGCCAATCAATAGTTCCACCATTTCCTATCCAACCCCTGGGATATTCCCTATTAAGAAAATTTTTGACTCACACAACCTTGTGAGGAGGGGCACCATCTTGCTGCCATATAATGGGCGCTGATATATTTAGGGGTAAATCTTCTATATATTGTGCTATTTGGTGCTCTAAGAGATGATGATAATGATCTCCATTTAACTTTTGATCTATAAATATCGGGCCCAAAATATGACGGTCTATACCACACCATACCATTATTGATTGGTACCCTTGGGTTTTTATTTCGTGTATCTGTCTAGGATTATTTACAGATCAATATTGCGTATTTTGTCTATTACAACCCTTTCTTGTAGTGAACGAACTTTCATCAGTCCATAAAATGTTTTTTAAGAAATTATTATTCTCATTATATCTATTTAAGAAATCCAAACAAAACTGCCTTCTCCTTTCACATTGTTCTACACTTAGTTTTTGGGTTTTACGAAATTTAAATGCATTATATTTGAATTCCTTCAAAACTGAGTAGATTGAACCCCGAGAAATACCTGTCTCTTGATATACTCTAGTAAGAGAAGAACCTGGATGTGCTTCATAGAATCCTAATATGTTTGCCTTATTTTCTTCATTTAAAACGCTATAATTCCTACATACCTTTTTAGCATTCAACACGTTACCGTTTTCTGAAAATTTCTTGGACAGCCTCGGTAATATCTGTTTTGAAGGAGCTCGGCGCTGTGGATAAAGTCTAATATACTCACGACGAGCAGCGGTTGCACTTTTATGATTCATGAAGTATACTTGAAGCATATCACTCCTTTCATGGATGCTGAATTCGCGAAAAACCATTTTGATAATAATAATAGTAACTGTGACAATAATTCAACCATCAACGTTGTTTACCAATATTTCAAACCACATAACTTTCAAACATAAATATATTTGTCAAAAAGGTTGTCTTGGATAGTTTATAAACAAACCAGCTATTTTGGTCAGTGTATTTCAGTTTTCCCAATAATTTCAAGTAAATTAGCTGCAATTCTAGTAAAAATTGCATCTTCTGTTAAAATAGCCAATGGGTTGGTTAGTTTGTAAACTATCCAGCTAGTTTACAAACTATCCAAGTTTGCATATTAACCTTAACATACGTGAGCACGTAAAGGTTGGAATGAAATCCATAAAATATACAGGCTTGATATTTTTAAAAAAACTTCGGACACGTCGATTTTTGATTTTAGTGGCCATTTTTTGATGATATTAGCATGTATACTGGATGACCCCTAAAAACAGCTAACTTTATTTTTTTTAGATGAAAACACCGATTTTTTATTTCATTTTGAATTTCTACATTTAATTCTGAACCTATTTTAATTGTGATAAATTGGTCAATTATCCACTGTCAATAATTCCGAAATAGTGGGATAGGTATAGGACATGATACATAAAATTATTTTATGTATCATGTCCTATACCTACCTATTGTTCGTCGATTTTTAACTAACACTTGCGGTATGAGGAGCGAGGGGGTGATTCATATGGCAAAAACAGGTGTGATGTCAGGTAACCATTGGCGTTCTAATGTAGGGAACCACCAGCTGACATTCCGTCCGAGTATCAGTTTAAAATCGACGGACAATGTCTTCAACTGTTTCGGAATTAACGAGGGAATTAATGACAGTGGATAATTGACTTTATTGCAATTTCAACAGGCTTTAAAACCGATTTTACATTCTTATTTGACACCAACTTTGAATTCAACCGGAGACTAAGTTTAACCGGAATTTTGAATCATGGATTAAACTTGAAGTTAGTGGCAAACGATAGT